AGCACCTGGAATATTATCCCAGGACAGGTTTGAGAGGCTTGTAAATGGCATGGTGGTTGCCTTGAAAAGTAAGAAGATAACTGTAGAGGAACTTTTAATGAAAGGAGGAAAGTACCGTATTTTTCAGAGTATAAAACGCACCTTTCCCCCCCCAAAAAAGAGGGTGAAAATCTGGGTGTGTCTTATACTCCGAATGTAGCCCTGCCCAGCTTCTCAAATGGAGGTTTCAGAGGCTGAAAAAAGCATCAGAAACAAAGCTTCGGAAAAGATGTCCCCAAACAGAGCTTCAGAGGTTTTTTTTCTGAAGCTCTGTTTCAGAGGCTTTCAGATGCAGGAAAAAAAAGCAAGGCACAGAGCTCACAACCAAGGAACCTGTTGCTAAAATTCACCTCTGGGAACAGCTGATTGGGGGTATTCCTGGAGGCTGGTCCACACATCAATCAGCTTTTTTCTTATTTTCCTCCCCAGAAACTAAAGTTTTATACTCCAGTGCGTTTTATACTCTGAAAAATACAGTAGTTCTTCGCTGCTTTATGTATAGTGTGTACGATAAACAGCTGTGAATTTGTTCATGTATAAAACTAATACACACACACACACACACACACACTCACAGTTCATTTAATTATATTTACTCTATTTCGAGTGCCAAAGTCATTTCAAATTGTAAAGAACTTCTAGAGTGCCTTAAGAATGTTATGTTTTTTATTCATAATATTGTGTGCTTAGACTTTGTTCAAATATGTGTCTTAAAGATTTCGCTTTTGGGGGTAAAAGGCAGCTAAACTAAGGAGCTTGTAGAACAAAGAATGACACTGATACTATTCATGTGCCTTTACTTTGAATCAATATTATATAGGGTAAATTCTTTTCCTTTATTCCAAGAAGGAAATTTGTTTGCTTTCTTCATTTTATCCAGGATTGTAGCATTGTTCTAAAACAATCTAGAACCATTTTGAGACTTGATTTTCAATTATTAATGTGCATACAGAGATGACTGGTAAAAATTACAGTGATGAAAAATAATTCACTATCCAATTGTAAATGTTCGCCCTATCCAGAAGTGTAGTATTGTCTTGAAGCAATTTAGAACCTCTTTGAGACTTGAGTTTTATTAATCAATATATACACATCTTATGGTATAAACTGGTACAAACTACAGTGATGAAAAATAATGAAATGTGTGACATTCACATTGCAATGCATAATTTGTCATGTGAGGTCAGGCGCAAAAAACCAGGGCCACACATGAAGGTTCAGATTAATTGATTTATTGTTAAAATAAACACATATTTGCACATGAATCTTCTCAACTAAAGCTCAGTATCTTATTAGAGTTAGATAAGAGTCAAGGCATTCAAGGAAGGTTGGACTTAGTTGGCTTCTGGCTATGAAATGACTCTAAATTGATCCCTTTTTTAACTCCTTCCCTCCCACATATTTTTCCCTTTGTATCTCCACTGTGTATACCTGTGAATGCACCTGTAGGTTCATGGTCTTTGTAGTTCTTTCTATTCTGTTTTAATCTGGGCATGCTTTTACTCTCCTTGTCTGTCCTCCTCCCAGTCTTTCTTGCAATTTAATCTTTGTATATTAATTAGGTATATGAAATTATTATTTTGAATGAAAGGACCATATAGGTAGTCCTCATTTAGTGATCATAATCAGGACTAGAAGCTCCGTCAAACAAAGAAATCCCATTATCCCTACTGTACTTGCTTTTTCCAATTCCCTTGCCCTTTGGAATGTTTGGCTCCCAACTGCTGTATATTACTGAAAAGACTAATCAGTTTCACACCTTCAGCTTTTGTTTCTCTTTTAACTAGACAAACATCCCTTTGGAATGTTTACCTGAATCCTGGGATAACAAAGAATTAATGTTTATATTTATATTCATTGGAGAGAAAGAGATTACAAGAGAATAAGAATGTGCATTGTTGGAAAAATAACCCCATGGTTTTTTTTGACAATACAAAAGGGGTGCTGTGGAACTAGAAAGAGTGCAGAGAAGAGCAACAAAGATGATAAGGGATCTGGAGGCTAAATTGTATGCAACTAAGGGATTTGGGTATATTTATTTTAATGAAGAGAAAGCTTAGGGGAAGCATGATAGCAGTTTTCCAAAAGGTTGTCGGAGAGAGATCCCACCTCGAAATAAGGATGGATTTCTTGGGAGTGGCAATGATTAATAAATGGAACAGCTTGCCTCCTAGAGTTGTGGGAGCTTCATTGGTGGAGGTTTTCAAGAAAACTTTGACAACCATTTGTCTAAGATAGTATAAGGACTCTTGTCTTGGGCAAGGAGTTGGACTAGAAGACCTCCAAAATCCCTTCCAGTTCTGTTATTCTATGCTATGCAAACAGTCAGTGTATTCCCCCTTGTGTTGCTGTTCACTCTTTTATAATCCCTTTTTCTCCAATCTCTTCTTCTCCCCCTCTGCATATTTAAGCAATCTCTCCACGATTTCTGTGGGAAATCTCTTCTATGCCTGATCTCTCCCCCCCCCCAAGAGTGGAAAGATTGGAGAAGAAGAGATTGCAAAAGAGTAAGCAGACACATCATGGGGAATGCATCAGCTGTTTGTGTATCATGTTTGCAATTCCCAGTGCCACCTCATTCATTTCAATCTGCATTCCTCATTGTGTGCCTGCTTACTCCTTTGTAATTCCTTTATTTCAAATGTTTGCTTTGCAAGGGAGGGAAAAAAAGCAAAAGGTCAGCCATACAGCAACACGTATTGACTACAATGGCGATCACATGACTGAGGGATGCTAAAGTTGTAGGCATTAGTCATAAAATTATTGTTTCTGCACTGAGCTAACTCAAAGTATCCTGAATGAATATACCTGTACAGTATATATTTTTATGACTCTCACACAGCACAATCCCCACTTGATTTCGTTGGCTAACTTTCCTCTCCTGTTTCTGATGCCATAGTTGTAAACCTTCCACTTTGTAAGTCCTTATTCACCTTCATATATGCAAAATGTTATTCCACCTATTCTTTTAATTATCTCTATCTAAGTTAAGATTTCTTGAACAGGGCATAAGCTTGATAAACAGGCCTCAATCTTCTGTAATATGAAATTACAGAAATTTGACCAGATTGGGCGAGCCAGTAGGGACAATTTGAATCAGTTTGCCAAACAGGTAAAAGTCACCCCTGATTGGCCTCACCTGGTCGCCGCTCAAGTCTTCTGGCCGCTCACTGCTCACCTCTTCTGGCTGCTTGCTCAACCCTTCCAGCTGCTCGATATTCCACAGAATTCAATGTTAAATGCAGCAGAGAGAATCTGAAGTTTTCTCCCTCCATTCACAGCAGAGCTGCTGCACCCTGTCCATTTAAGGTAGTCTCCGGGAGGGAGGGGGCTGGGGTGAAATGCTCCCGGTTCGGAAGGTAGCGATGGCGGTCGGTGGTTCGGAGAACCAGTAGCAAAAATCCCTGCGCCCTTCCCCCCCCCATATGCCCAGCTGAGCCGTACGATCATCAGAGGCTGGTTTTTTTTACTTTTAAAAGCATTTTTTCTACATCTTCGGCCGAAAAAATGCTTTTAAAAGTTAAAAAAAAAGCCTCTGGTGATCGTGCGGCTCAGCTGGGATCGTCAGAAGCTTCTAAAAGCATTTTTTTCTGCAACCTCTTAAGGTTGTAGAAAAAATGCTTTTAAAAGTAAAAAAGAAAAGAGTTGGCCACGCCCACCCAGTCACATTACACTCCCCCACCAAGCCACGCCCACAGAATCGGTAGTAACAAATTTTAGATTTCACTCCTGCCAGGGGGGACCATAAAGGGAGCAGCAGCTCCATTGTGAATGGAGGGAGAAAAGTTCGGATTCTATAATGAAATTGTGTAAAAAAAAATGTAACGGATATTGTGTATGCTTAATGTTGTGTGGAGAAAAGCTGGGCAACGATATTCTACTTTTTCTGAAATGAATGCTATTTTAGATGTTTGGGCTAAAATGATTCACAGAAATAGTACACCTCTGTTTTCAGTGCAGAGTATTGTCACATCATTATTGGCAATTGCTTAAAATATTTTTTATAGTCTATCAGTCCATCCATCCATCTATCCATCCAATTTATAGGGCTGCCCATCTAAAAAAAAGTGACTGGATGGCATACAACAAAATTATAAAACAATAATATATCTTAAAATTTACAATCTGAAAAAATTTAAAGCCTGTTATTAAAAGCTTACAGTAGATATTAACAGCAATGGAACCACCTCAGTAAATAATTGGCTCCCCAAAAACTTCCCCAAGAAGTTTTTAATATTCAAGAAGTTCAAAATAAGCACCAGATTAAAATAATATCATTTTCTATTTTAAAAAAATAGAATACTGTTTCCATATTTTAAACCACTAACCTCAAAAAACAATAATGCTGTTATTAAAAAGGTTGAGCTAAAAGTTGATACACTCTGGAATGGAACAGCAAACCAGATTGCCACAACATTGTTACACATTAAATAACATTTAAATTGAAAAACTAAGTTTGAAAGCATTAATAAAGAAAAATGAAGAGGATTTAAACAGGTTTCTCACCTAAAAGTGAAAAAGAAAAGTTGTTAATGGAGATACATACCAAATTCTCCAATAAAACCTATTGTTTTACAACCAAGTAAAGCAGGTCTATACTTAAGTTGAAAATTCAGTACCTTCTCAGTTGATGTGTACAGAATTGTGTGTATGTATATACACACAATCCTAGCTGTAATGAATAATCAGAGTTAAGGGAGATGATTTTGTTTTGTATCTACTCAAGACATGCACCATTGATTGTTCTCCCGTCTCTTTGAAAGCGTCATTCTTTCTTTAAACATAATTCTTAACATGGTGGTAATGTTTATTAATACAGTTTCGATACTAAATAAATATTTTTGATATACATTTACATCTTAGAGAGGGCTGTAGTCTGGAACATGCTTCACGATAGCTAGACCTCTCTAAACTGATCACCAGATGCTAAGCTAAGTGACCTTGTGTTTCTTAATTGGCAGGGGAAGTCATTTCCCTTTGTTCAGCTTTGCTGCTATACCACTGGTTGAGGGGAGGAAAAGAAGATTGTGGCAGCAAATACCAATTGAAGGCAGTAACTGCTTCATCACTCTTGTAGAGAGTAAGGAAGGATGATCTTGGAGGAGGTATGCAAGAGCCATTGCCTAGGCAAAAGGGGCTGACACATTTTATAAGCTTAGAATAGCAGGATAACATTCAAAAGTGGTTCAGGTAGATGCCTGTCTAATTCACTGAACTATAAGAAGGGGAGGAGGTACAGCGTAATCAGACTTGAAAGAGTATTATTATTATTATAGCTAATCTTAATAAAAGTAGTTTCAGCCTTACTGTGGAGTTTTCTATCTAGTAGGGCTGACAACTTAAAGTGTCTTGATTGGTTGGGATAGGTTTGTTTCTTTCTATATACAGTTTTGTTAGAACTCAGTGCATATATGAAAAACATCTGGCTGGATCCAGATAAAAGTATGTGGAAGATAACAGCTTGAAAGATTGGTTGAAAAATGACAAGTAGATGGGAGTGCTTCCATCTAATCTTTGGAGATTCTCCTGCCTTTTTAGCCACAATCTGGCATTCAGCAAAACTTCCTCCTTTTGGGAGTGGCTTTTTGGGCTAGGGGATTGTGAGAGAATTTGGTAGAAGATACCCATATGTTGGTTGCCTATCTCTTTTCAACTTATTACAGTAAAATCTTGATTTTTCAGACCTCAATTGCAATGAACTTTGCATCAAATGAATCAATTTTCTGATTGATTATAGGTGGCCCTCATTTAACAACCACTTACTCAGCGACCATTTGAACTTATGACAGCACTGAATGAGTGGTAGTTATGACTGGAGCTCGTACTTAACACCGTTGCAGCATTATCACAATCACATGATCACCATTTGCAATCTTCCCTGCTGGTTTCTGCCAAGCAAAGTCAAAGGGAAGTCAACAAGAAGTTGGAAGTCACATGAGGTCCTTGTTTAACAACCTGCACAATCATCCTTTAAGTGCTGTTGCTAAGCACAGTCATAAGATTTTTTGGCTTAATGATGGAGTTTCTGGTCCCAATTAGCATTATTAAATGAAGACTGCCTATAATTTCATTTGTGCAGTGGTGTCACAATACAAACAGCATAATTTATATTATTTGTATAATTACTATATATAACGCAAATCACTTCAACTGAGTAGTTCTGAAATTTATTGATACTGTAGTTATCAATAGTTAATAATTCGGTAGTTTTCAAATTTGTTAATACAAACAGTTTTTGACTTATCACAATTGGGACCAACATTTCCAACACAAGTTGGAAGTGGTCAAAAAGTACAAGGCAGTTGCCAAGTGCAAATTGCAATTATATGACCACAGGGATGGTGCAACGGTCATAAGTGTGAACAAAGGTTGTAAGTTACTTTTTCCAAGGCCATCATAACTTTGAACCATTGTTTAAAAAGTGGTCATAAGGACTATATGTAACTGAACTTCCTTCATATAGTCCATTAAAACAAAACTTCATTTTTTTATTTCAAATATGAATTTATTTTAAAATAAATGCCATTTCAGTCGTATTCTAGTCACATGAGAATTATCTGCTGTGATAGGATTGAAAAGAGGAAAATTTATGGAGAAGAAAAATTGATAGCAAACATAGGATTCATAATTACATTGAGTGCATGTTTCATTGCATCCCATCCACTTATTTTTTTAAAAAATATGTACACATAACTTGTGGGCATGCAGTTTTAACTCATTTTGTCTTTGTTTTAAGCGAAACTTAGATAAATATCTCTATGTCTACATTTAATGTGAGGATAGTTCATAGCTGATATAAGAAAACTATACTGAACTGTTGTGCTGTCATTTCTAGGAGGAGAGACTTCAGCATGCAAACCTTCAACTGTTCGGCTTGCACCATCATTTTCATTCCATGCTGCTGGCCTTCAGATGGCTGGACAGATGTCCCATTCACATCAGCAGTACAGTGATCGTCGACAGCAGAACATAAGCGACCAACAAGTTTCTGCCTTACCATATGCTGATCAGATTCAGCAGCCTCCTACTAACCAGGTACGTTGACTTTAACACTTGTACTAAGATAGCATTTTACTTAAAATAGGGCACATTCTTCTATTAACAGCTTCTGTATACTTCAACTCATCTTTGATGCTAAGAATTTGGAAATATTGGCTTGAAGTAACATACAAATTCTGCTATAAATATATTTCATTTTCTGTAAGGAATAATATGTTTTTAATTTATATTGCCATGAATCACTGTGATTGCAGTAGACTGCACTTTTTTGGGGCAACATAGTTACTTGCAATATTTTGCCAAAGGCAAAAGTAGTGTAGTCAAGATTCAGCTTTTATTAATTTTTCTATTTCATTCATACCTGAAAACGCAACTGTAAAGGTACTAATGTAAATTATAGGAAAATATAGAATAACAGAGTTGGAAGGGACCTTGGAGGTCTTCTAGTCCAACCCCCTGCTTAGGCAGGAAACCCTACACCACTTCAGACAAATGGTTATCCAATATGTTCATTATATTTGCTCTGTTTTAACAGAGCATAAAAGATTTGAGAACAAAATAAGTAGACTTGGAGTCCATCAACTGACAACTGGTATTATCTTAAATATTTCTGTTGGGATTCTATGGAACACTTAGGATCACATCACAATTTTATGTTTGCATAATTTTGTTCTTAATTATCTTCACACTATGTTGAACTTCTTAATTCCTTTCTGTTAGATAGCAAATCTAAATTAGATACAGGTACTCCTCAACTTACAACCATTTGTTTAGTGACCACTTGAAGTTACAACAGCACTGAAAAAGGTGTCTTATAGTTGTTTTTCACATGATCATTGCAGTGTCCCTGGGGTCATGTGGTCAAAATTTGGATGCTGGACAACTGGCATGTATTTATGATGGTTGCAGTGTCCCAGTGTCATGTTTTTTACAACCTTCTGACTAGCAAAGTTAATGGGGAAGCCAGAAGTCAATGGGGTGGGAATCATTGATTCACATGTGTGGATTTGCTCACTGTATTGTACTGTGCGGTACAAACAATTGATCAACTTCTCTAATATCTTCATATCTAATGTTGTTGTTACTTGCTTATCACTCAGCAAATGAGTCTGTTAGACCAATCAGGCACTGTCTACCTGCAATGTTTTCTTATGTTTTAAATAAATTGTATCACTGCAATATTACTGTGAAAAACTACTACTGAAAACAACAGACTCTTGCTGAATTCTTTAGTTTAAAGTTGCTGAGTGAGCAGCTGTGAACATTTATAAATGTGTTTTAATTCAATAGAAGACCAGATCAGAAGGAATAGGATTAAAATAGTTTTTTAATACTACAGCTCCATCTGGTGGTCAGACGGAAATCCATTCACAGATCATATTTGCTACTATGGGAAATTAAAAGTACTAAGTTTGATAGAATTCACTCTCTGATCATTTAATATAAAAATTTAAAGGAAATGTTAGTATACTGTATTTGCAAATGTTGTTGTAGTAGAAAAACATTTAGGTTTATGAAATTCTGAAATTAGGTTCGTAATTCAAGTAAAAAGTGAAATTTGGTCTTTTTATCACAAGTATATAAGGTCTGTTAAGAACTCACTGTTTATCACCCTACAGTAGCTTTCTAGCATTTCTTCTGCTTCATCTCCCTTAGTTCTGTCAAGCGCAGGAAATCAAGTCCAGACAGTTCAAAATGAATATAAAGGTTTATTGCAAGCTTATGCTCTCATAAGAATCTGAACTACTAATGGTCAAAGCAAATTGATGGTAGATAAGAGTCAGTGGAATTTAAGGTGGGCTGGACTCTTGTGGGGATGAAGGGATTTGAGACTGATGATGATGCATTTCATTCTTCCCTCAGGCTCAGCCTGGTCATCTCCTATATCTGCTCTTCACTTTGTTCCCCCCTTCCATGGGTTCTTCTGTAGTCCTTTCCTCTTCAAAATCTGAGTTCTCATGGGAACTTGGCAAGGAGGGAAGGAAAGCAGTCTCAAAGGAATCTGCCTCCCCCTCATTTAAAGTCGCTGGCAAACCAGGTAGTGGTTGCTGCAACACAAAAACATTGTTAAAGATTCCCTCCCCTTCCCTGCCTGAAAGTTGAAGGCCAAATGTGAAAGGCCCATTGTGTCAAGGGTCCTGCTTCCCCCTGGTGCAATTAAGAGGGGCTGTTTAATCTCTTCCTCAACAGGTTCCTCAGGTGAAACTGAATGGAGAGCTGGAGCTTAGTGCACCATGGCTTGTCATGGAAAATGCTGGTTAAACTGACAAACCAGTGGCATGAGCATAAGGAGCAGGGGCATTTTCCCAGGAGCAATCTGCAACAGGGGAGCTTTTCCAATGATTCAAATACAAATGGCTTTACCTCTTTTTCTAGAGTCTAGTACATGGGTGTCAAACTCATGGCATCATGTTGCCATCATATGATTTTTCGTGACATTCTCCATTGTGGGTGGAGACAGCAGCCAGAACGGGGGTGTGCTCGTCTGTTAGGCTGATAGACTGAGCCTATCAAAGTTGCTAAGTCCCGCCTTGTTACTGGGCAAACCCAGCTTTTGGCTCAGTCTGTCAGCCTAGACAGGCGTGTGGGACTGTTCCTCTTGCTATTTCTATCTTTTACTGATCGCATATTGTTGTTGGCTTTATTGGTTTTGACTTGGATTGTTACTGGACTTCTTTGGATTTCGATTTCACACTTAGACTATCGTTGATCTTATTGGTTTGGACCTGGATTGTTGCTGGTCTTCTTTGGATTTCAATTTCACAGTAAGACTTTCCCCCTGTAACGAGCTTCACTGGTTATCTGGGGTGGTGGTGTTACTTTTTCCCTATTTCCTGAGATTCACATTTCCTTTATTTGACTAAGTTTTGGGGGCTGGTGGAGTTTCACGCTCCCGTTTCTTTTCCAAAGCTTTGGTGGCTAATTGGCGGTTTGCGAAGCTTCATGCTCCCCTTCAGTATCTCCCGGCGGCCATTTTGGATCATTTCGCAGCCCGTTATTCCTCGGCTTGCCTTTCGGCTCCTTTTCCTTTGATTGCTTTTTCGGAGCCGTCTAGTGGAGCCTCGCGCCCCAGCTATTGTTTGTGGAGTCTCGCGCCCCCAGCTATTGTTTGTTCGGGCATCGCAACAGCTCTTTGCTGTTGCGATGCCCGAACCTCTCAAGAGGTTTTGGGCGCGAAAACTGCCTAGCCGCTCTGTCGGCTCTTACTAATTTTTCCTGTCAGCACATTTGGCGCGCCACCTTTTCACAGCTTTTGGGACCTTGCAGCAGCATTCTATACGGCTTTGGAGGGGTTTTCGCGCCTCCTTGTCTTGATAGCATAGCCATTCCTTCATTGCGGAGGTTATCGTTGGTGGAGCTTCGCATCCCCCCCCCTCCTTGCTTGCGCTTTCGCGCTTGCCACTATTAAAGGGCACTACTTTGAACCTGCATGGCTCTGTGCCTTATCATTTCAAGTGGCGCTTGTTTGCGCTACCGTTTGTTTGGCTAGCATCCAGCGCCTGAGCTCTCCCGCCCTCGCCAAGTACTATTGTTTGAGGCCTCCAGGCTTTAGCCTGTGCCTCCTGGGCAGATTACCCCCCTTTTTCTGCAACGACTTCTGCCCATTGGCTGTTCGCCGCCTACAACCATTATATTCAAACATGCCCAAGGCTTCGCACAAATTGAAGCACAGTCACAAAGCGGGGCGCTCTGAGGATCCACCACATACAGGGGCCTCTTCGTGCAGTAAGGAGGTAACTTCTGGATCCCTCTCTAAGCCGTCGGGTTCAGACTATTCCCGGACTCATCGCAAATCCTCCTCTCACTCTCACCCTTCCTGTGCTGAAGGTCGTCGGGATAAGTTACTTCAAAAGCTGTGTGCCAAGGCCAGCGGGCACCAGCAATTGGCCAAGGAGACGACTACGATCTCTCCGCATGCAGCCACAGCATCTGAACCTGGGGTACAAGTGGATCAACTTTCCCTCCAGGACTGTCCTGCGGTGATTCAACCCGCCGATCTGTGGGGCGCCGCTGTAGTTTCGGATCCTGTTCCAATAACAGATTCTGGCACGCCTCCACCTGCGTTGCAGGTCTCATCTGAGGCAGTGTCAGCACCTCCCCCAACTGAATCTGGTTCTGGTGTGGCACAGCAACATAATTTTCTCTCGCCAGAACAAATCCAACAGTTAATTGTAGCAGCGGTGCAACAGTCATTGGTGTCCCAAGTTCTGCTCGCCCGCTGAGCTGCTTCAGTCCGCTCCGATCTCTCTACCTCTCGGGTGGATGTCTCGCAAGACGATGCGCTTTCCATAGATGCTCCGGATTCTCCTGTTTTGTCCGTTTCGAGCCGTGCTTCATCGTTGGCCAAGGACGTCTCTCATGATTTGGACCTGTCAGAGGACGAGGGGCTCCCTCCGGACCAACCCGCGTTCACGGGCTTGTTTCCCCAAACTTTGTTCAAGTCCTTACTGCACAAAGCTGTCCTTACAGCTCAGCTGGGCTCCCCGCCTCCGGCGCAGACTGGCCCTACAACGTCAAAAGGGGCTCTGAATTATCTCTTTGCTGAACCATCCAGACCTATGGACATTATTCCTACCCCCCCTCTGTTCCTTGAAGTCATCCGGAAACAATGGTCCACTCCCGGATCGGCCCCGATACCCACTTCTGTGGACCGATGGAATTACTGTGTGGCACCGGATCTGGCTGACCTTCTCCAGGTTCCATCCGTAGATGCTCCAGTGACTGCTCTCTTGCCGCACGCCCCGGTCCCTGGCATTTCAGATGAAGGCCTCCGCCCTGAGGAGCAGAGCAGGTCTTGCAATGGGCACACCAAGGGGCCGCCTGGGCCATCCGTTCTGCATCGACAGCGTCATTCTTCAACTGCACTACGCTCTTATGGCTTCGTCATCTGCAAGAAAGTTTGGCCACTGAGGATGTCCGTGTCCGACAGGAGCTGAACAAGATCATAGCTGCCACACAGTTCTCTGCGGATGCTACCCTTAATGCCGCCCGATTTGCAGCCAAGTCCCTCACTTCCTCTGTTACCGCCCGGCGTT